AATAAAAAACAAAAACAAAAAAAAAAAAAACCCAAAAAAAAAAAAAAAAAAAAAATAAAATAATATAAAAAAAAAAAAAAAAAAAAAAAAAAAAAAAAAAAAAAAAAAAAAAAAAAAATTAATTACCAGAACTACGTATTATACGAAAAAAATATTTAATGATTTTTGTTAACAGAAACAGATCTCCCTTTATTATTTCGTATGGTAATTGTAGACGATTCTGAGTTCAACACAAAATATTAGGCTCGGGGGGCAAGTATTATATACAGTATAATTCTTTGGTCGTCCTGGGTTCGAATAAAAACAATGAAAATTAACAAAGGCATAAAAAGGCTTGGGACGATATACATACAGTATTACTGTATGTTTAAAAGATAGAGAGCGTTATGATCTACACTAAAGCAGTGCATTTTTACCGCATGAAAAAAATATCAGATGATTAAAAATATGTTTCATTATTCCAGTTTAAATTATTTTAATAGTACGCTGATCATCTCACCACAAAATACTGTACGTACATATATGTAATTTTCACCCAATGTATATACTGTATATGTCCGGTGATTTCGACAATACACGTATTAAAATTTTATTTATTTTATAGTCATCGTGTAATTCGCAAAGGAATTTAATATTTATTCCAATTATTCAATCGGAATAATTAATATTTTAGGATAGGACATACAGTATCTATGATTATTTTAGACTAACCTTTTGTTATCATGTGAATCATAATTGAAAATTTAATTAATTCTATATTCTAGTTCTAATAAAGTAATGCATGTTAACTTAATTTACTGGGGAAAAGGTTATATGATTGGAATCAAGGTTGCTGGAAATTTTCAAAGAATTCTTCGAAAATATCATCTTTGGAATACCATTCATACAAACCCCTCAAAAATTCCTTATCTACAACAAACTGTTGGATAGGTTCTAAGGGAGGAGGAGGATTAGGTTCCTGTTGGTCATAGTGGATAAATTTGTAGCGATAGGCTCTTGGTTTTCCGCGCCTAAGTTCCTTAAGTTTTTCGTCGATCATCGAAGCGATTTTCTTGTATTCATCGCGAACTTTTATATCTTCGTTTTCCCATTGGTAGCCCGCCATCTTTGAAACGTCAATCATTTCTAGCTTATGGTTAAGTCGTAAAAGCTCCTTCGTAAACACACGGCGATACACAAAGAAACAGTTAGGGCCTTTATTGCCAATTTTTTCGTGTGGACGGTTAATGAATTCCTCAATATTTATTTCAGATGCGTTCGGCATCTGAATACGTATAGGAATAAAATTTGGGTCGTCTTTATTTTTAGGGAGCTTTTTAGGCCGCGGGGTCTTAGGAACAACGCGTGCTGGATAAGGCTCAATTTTAAAATCATATTTTAGATTTTCAGACAGCCATTTGGATCGTGAAGTCTTGTGAGCGCGTGCTGGAAAATGTTGAACTGAAATTTTATTTTCCATAGCTTCTAAAGGATGCACTTTGAGTCCGTCGAAGGGACCTTTATATATATTTTTCTCGATTATTGTTATACAAACCAAAATAAATAACCAAATGGTAGGGTAACTTTCGGAATTAATGTCTAATGATGGTGTTCCGCAGAAACTTTCGAATTATTACGATTAGAATTCCTGCCAACTCAAAATGAAGCACGGGAACAGATCTCCTTTGCTAAACAAATTGTTATGCCTGGTATTAAAAATGATAAAGAAGGGGTCTCAAGTTCTAGTTTCGTTTTACGTTGATGCACAAATTACGTCAATAATTAATGTGAGTAATACTAGAATATCACAGAATTCTGTTCTGCATCAATATACAGTATCCTATGAAAAATAAATCCACATAAGTTTCCTCATCTGATCACAATATCTTGATTTAACGATCACAAATTGATCATGTGAGTGAGTACTCGATGTCACCGGTGTCAGATCACGGACGTTCTTCCGGCTTAGAGGTACATGAGTACCATATTTGGTCGGTTCTAGAGTCGTATCACCAAATCTGCGACGATACCTTGTAATTCTTTGTCATTCGGCTCTTCTAGAGCCTTATTGCCAAATTAACAACAGAACAGTGACAAACTGCGCAATTCTTTGTCTTCGGCTCTTCTCTTCGGCGCAGATTGAAGTTAAATTATAATTCTTTCGAAAATTTGTGCCAAATGATCTTGTGATTCTTGATCAGAGCGACAGCCTTATTGAATAATAACCCGATACTAAAAAATGAAGGAAGGAAGAAAAGAACGGAGGAAATAAATAAATGTATATATATACTCTATATACTGTACGTATATATAACAAGAGATACTGTATTGCCTAATGTTAATTTAAAAAAGTGAAAGAAAATCGATGAGAGTATACGTTCTTAGCGGTAATTTCCCACTCGGGGGATGTCATAACTGGATTTTCATTTCGTTACACCCTGGTAAAAAAAAAACTAATACATTAATGGAACAGGTCAAGTGATTTAAATTTGATTATGACATTTCTCGTGGTCTATGGATTACACTAGCGCCCCGGCTTCTATGGAAAGATATGCAGAATGATGAGCTTTATGACTCAGATTGTATACGTTGAAGTCATGTGATGTTTCCGGCTTCCGCCTGAAATTTATCCGGAACACTTGATGTATACGACAATCAGTTCTTTCCGGAGAAACGGTGCATAAGCAGGAAAGTTGTATATTTTAGTTAATTGTATTTTTGATTTAGTACAGTAGTCTATAATTAGAAAATTCATTATGCATCCGGTCACATTAATGTAGTCATTTCCCGATGATTCACAGGAATGCTTTTGTTCTTTTTTTTTTTTTTTTGGCTACATACTGATCGACTGAACAATTGTAAATATAATGTATAATAATTGCGATTATAAAAAACGTTCCGTTGGATTTCCGTACAAAAAAGTTGACAAAGAGCATTACTTCGCCGGCAAAAAAAATAAAATAAAATAAAATAAAAAGCAAAACAAGCAAAACAAAATCATTCAAATTCTCAAAGAATTATCTTTCTAATCTCCGAAAGTCTCTATTTGATGAGATACCTAATGTTAAATTACAATAATTTAATTGTTTATTTAAAAAACGTTTTTTTAGAGTCACATGTAATCAGGTGATCTTTGTAAGTAAAAGAAATTATTGTGATATAAAACAATGTTGTGTTTTAAAATATTCTCTGATTATTTTTAAAAAAAAAAATAGTGACTCATTACTAAATTTTTATATTAATAATAAATAAAGTAAAGGATCAAATTATATAAAAACAATGTGATTATCTAGATATTTAAATTTTTATATTTTAACTTATTTCAGAAATATTGAATCAAATTATGATTCAAACTTTAAACAAGTTGTTATACTGTATATATAAAAAAACTTGAGATCTACATATAGAACATAGTAAACTTTTATATTATTTGCTATTTTAAAAAGAAATATTTATGTTAAAACATAATAAATCTACATATATTTGTATTTATATTTATATTTAATTTTTTTTTTTTTTTTTTTTTAACCCGCTGTCAGGCTAGTTATGTGTGCTTATTTATATTTATATTTAATATATAATATAATTTTTATATATATATATATATATTTTTAACCCACAATCATGCCACGATGGCTTGTCTTTATTAAAAAATTGAAATAAAATTTACAATATTTTACAGACTTTCACAACGTGACTAACTCGTCTTCATACAAAAATACTCTAAGTCAGATTTTGGGGACAATATTACACTCCCCCAATAGATTGGTAATAACCTCTATCTATCAGGATCATT